TGACATGTATACCATGACGTTCAAACCATCGCTGAGCAACGTAGGAGCGGTGGATTTTAGCGTTATCTTGCTGAAATATAGTTCCAGGTTCATAGTGTTCAATAAACCCCTCTTCAAGCGCTTTCAGGTAGGATTTCGTTGTATAACCACCTCCGCGACCTCGCTGTCCTTCTGAAAAGTCACGCTCCATAATCACAAGTTTTGTACGCCCTCCGAGCCATATTCCAGCCCAAACCATTTGACAAATATCTTTCACATGAACCTTAACTTGTACCATTCCCTGCCGGTAAGCTTCTCCTCTAAGCCGGGTAACGTATTGGCCGTTTAAATTAGGGATACGTTGAACGCTGCATTCGTCGGAAAAGATGAAGCTTTGTAGTTGGGAATTGTAGCGTTCAGCCCTCCAATTTCGGCAAAATCGGACTCTTTTGCGAGCGTTCTCCCTCGAAATTGGGATACAACGTCTTGCTCGATAGCGCTGGAGGAATTTTGAACGTAGGAATCGCTTGATTGATGATCGAGATGGATGACTGGGTATACGGGCGCTCAGCTCACTAAGGCTTAGCCAAGGCTCACGGCGTGCAAGTAAACAAGTGTATTTGATAGTAGAGTACCTATAGACTTTAGGGGCACCTGAACGAGGCAGTGATTTGAGCGTTTGGTGCTCTCGGAATCGTTTGATTGTAGAGTATATTGTTGAGCGTGCGACGTTGAACTCAGCAGCCATTTTAGTAGGCGATACACCACATTCATGAGCGTATATAATAGCTGCGCGGGCCTCAGATGAAAGCTCACCCCCTGGCCTTCGATTACCACTTATTTCAGTGCCAAACCGACGCATATTGGTGGTGTAGGGGGTAGTTGAAGAAGATGGGTGGGGGTTGACGCGAAAATCGCGCTAAAAAAATAGCGCGATGTCTTCAAACTTTTGGACCGCCTTTGTAATTAGGCCTACAGCTGCTCCGACAAAATAGTATCGCAACCAAGTATAACATTACTAGTCGATTACACCGTCCGATTGCTTGGCATTATATGACGAACTGAAGAAGTGGTCGAATACAACTAAGACCCTTCGGGACCGGCTTATTCATCATTCACCCAATTTGCTCCTAGTATGGTGTCATAACACGCCATAGTTCGAATATAGAGACCCTGAGATCGTTCAACCGATCTTAACAATCAATCAATAATCTGATTCTATCGGACATGTTCAGTACTAGCCAGTACATTAATTCCTCATACTGACATTATAAGTAATACACTTTGTAAGCGTAATTTGTTGTTAAATAACTAGTGTAGTGGGGGAATCGCTCTGGTGATGTCAGGTGACGTTGTAGGCCTTAGGCCTTACATGCAGTATATAAGCCCTCGATAATAGTTAACTCACCATCCACCTTTCGGGTCACCAATGTTATCCTCGTTATTCGGATGCACGCTGCGGTTATGCTAGGGGCTCGAATGCTCTGAATGCTGTTTTCTCAGTAGGGCACCGCTTTGTCTACTACTCTCCTGCACTCTGCGAGTGTGGTGGTTTTGTCCTCTTGCGATCGACCCGTCTGCCAACGCAGACTGCCAGCGAGTATTCCCATCTTTCACTAGTTAGTTTTTTCGAGGTGTTTTAAATTGAGCAGACTTTCACCTCTTTCCATACAATACCCTAAATGACGATAGTGACCGAATCATGGTCGCAAAAAATAGTGGGCCATTCACGAGCTATTATGCCTCGTCCATCAGGCAACAAAGAAATGATTGATCCCGATCGGGACAAGCTGTAACTTAATCCTGACATATTGCGTCATTGACACGTTTGTCTATCTGGTTGTGGCAAATATAAATACAGAAAGCCTGATTCAGATGCGGTTTATGTCCTGTGCTTGTTCACATCTTGAATACAATCTCAGAATGGAACCAGGAGACAAGAAATCGTGTTCCGTGGTAAGACTTTTCTATGTCTTATATTGAGCAGAAGTGCTAATCACATTTTCCCAGCCACTCTCTGGATGTGAAAAGAATCACAAGTTCAGCACATCTGAAAAGCGGCCTCATGGAGATCTACTCGGGGAACAATCCAAGGTATTTGTGATGCAATGTGATGCAACTTTATGAAAGGAGTTCCGACTGACAACCAGAAGAATCGCACTTACTTTGATTCCGATGATCATGCTGTTTCCACGGCGCATCAAGTAACCAACGAAGGTGCTATTCAAACTGGAAGAGTCCAGCCCGATCGCGAGAGAATTTCCATCCTTACTCCGCAACCCAACCTCCTCTCGACTCTTCGAATCCCCATCTGAAACCAGAGCTCCTAGATGCGCTGAGTTCACCACACCACTAAACTTAACTCGCGACCCGGCGCAGGGTTTTCACCTCGCGCAAGAAACCTAGGAGTTATCGCGCCAGAACCGTCTTAAGCCCTTCCTTCACCGACCTCCCCACTAATCCCTCGCACATTATGGACTTCGCACCCTCCCAGTCAGCCGAAGAGGCTGTCCGTGCCTCTGCAAAGAGAGCCACCGACCTCTTCGTCTCAGAGTACCTAATGGTCACGCCCTCCATCACGACAGACGGTTCGATCGGCTTCTCCTACCGACGAAAGGCAGAATACGAGCACGTGAAGGAATTACCCCCAGTCCTCGCCGCGAAGCAAGCAGCCGCAGCAAGCAGCCGCAGCAAGCGTCCCAAGATCCAATCCGCGCAGCAAGCCCAAGGCTCCGGAGACAAGAGCGGAGCATCAATGCCGCTCGTCAAGCGACCACCGCCGGGAGCAGGAGGCGCCGGTCTAGCAGGAGGCAGCGAGTATCAGCCAAAGAGTCTGATCGCCAGACCCTCAGCAACCAAGCAACAATCGCCAGATTGGCACGCGCCGTGGAAACTGATGCGCGTGATTTCCGGCCATCTGGGCTGGGTGCGGGCACTGGCGGTCGAGCCGAATAACCAATGGTTCGCAAGTGGAGCAGGCGATCGCACGATCAAAATCTGGAATATGGCGACTGGAAACCTCCGACTCACCCTGACGGGCCATATCTCGACGGTGCGCGGACTGGCGGTGTCGCCACGACACCCGTATCTGTTTTCGTGCGGAGAGGATAAGATGGTGAAATGTTGGGATTTGGAGACAAACAAGGTTATCCGCCACTACCACGGCCATTTGAGTGGTGTTTACACGCTTGCTTTGCACCCGAATCTCGACCTGCTCGTGACGGGTGGTCGGGACGGCGTGTGCCGTGTCTGGGACATGCGAACTCGAAGCAACGTCCACGTTCTGGCGGGCCATAAGGGCACAGTCGCGGATATCAAGTGTCAGGAAGCGGATCCGCAGATCATTTCCGGCTCTCTGGATGCGACCGTGCGGTTGTGGGATCTTGCAGCTGGAAAATCGATGAGCGTATTGACGCACCACAAGAAGGGTGTTCGTGCGCTTGCGACCCACCCGACTGAATTCACCTTCGCCAGTGCCAGCACCGGTAGTATCAAGCAGTGGAAGTGTCCCGAGGGAGCGTTCATACAGAACTTCGACGGCCAAAACGCCGTCATCAACTCGCTGGCGGTCAATGATGAAAATGTCATATTCTCCGGCGGTGACAATGGCTCCATGTGCTTCTGGGACTGGAAGACTGCACATCAATTCCAATCTATCGATACGATGGCCCAGCCTGGTTCCCTCGATGCTGAGGCGGGTATCATGGCGTCGACATTCGATAGGACCGGTCTTCGTCTCATCACCGGCGAGGCGGATAAGGCTATCAAGGTGTGGAAGCAGGATGAAAATGCCACACCTGAGACTCACCCTGTCGCCTGGGCTCCTATTTTAGGTCGAACCCGGTATTAGAGCGAGATGGTGCTATGCTTGGCGCGAGTCTCCTATAGACGCACCTTTTGTTCAGAGTCGAGTCTCCTTTAATACCCTTCCTTCCTCCCTACCTACTTGGCTGCTTGGTCTCATTTTCGTCATCTCCTTTTCTATACGGCACTATGTGGAGTTTAGCGGGGTTTGTAAATTGTCCTGGGAGATTCAGTCCGGGGAATTGTGGAATTGTTTACTGGAAAGTGGATCAAAAGAATAATATCTCATGTACAAGTACTATATACAATTTTCAAAAGAAGTTGTCAATCCACGGGATCAGCAATACACATACACATCTACTAGTAGTTACTTAGGTACGCACCTACTTAGTATCCTGTCTAGGATCCTTCTGAATAAGGGTATCACAGTATGCAATTAACCACCACAGCCCTCATGCCGGTGGCGGCAACACGAAAACAAAACTAGAATAAACACCAACAGGAACAAAACTCCCATAATGTACCACGAGTATCACTTCCCACAAAGATATCATACTTGTTCATACAGAGTCCACCTACCCACAAATGGAACTCACTGCTCAATCCCCAACCCAAACCCCTTAGCCTCCCCATCCTCCCGAAAAGCAGACCTAACATTCTACGCCGCAACCCTCAACCGAACCTTACTACTCCGATCACTACGGGTTGGAATCGTCGACCCACCAAGCAAAATCTTCGAATCCGCCCCCTGCTCCAAAGCCAGAACGCCCGAATTCATCAACTCCATAGCCGCAAACCCCAAAGCTCGCGCACGAACCCCGGCTCCCCACTGCCAAGAAGGAAATCCTTCACGCCTGCACCCGCTGCACCGGCGATGGCCACGGCCGCGTCCGCAATGCGGCGTGCTTCGGCGATGTCCACACATCGGGGTTATTTCCGGTAGTGCGGCTTCGTTCCTGATCTGCACCAGCCTCATACCACAAGAGACACAACCGCGCCTGCGTGGGTTGCGTATATTAACAGCGCTTGACTGGAGCACATCTGCTGCAGCTTCACTTATATCCCATTACTACCTATCTGCCCCATTGTCTAATCCTGTCTTGACTCTGGACTGTGGGTGGCATCCCCCGCCTGAGAGCTTTCCAAGATCCGATTTCCCAAAAGCTATAGCTTCCCATCCCCACCTTTATAGCATCTGCCTACTCGTATCGCTCACGATGGTGGAGCCGGAACTGCAACATGCTCACCGATTGTCGGCTGACAAACAAATCGTCTCGAAGGCTGAGATTCCTTTGAAAGAACGTTTCTTCCCTTACTTTCAACGTGAAATCACTGGTATAGTCCGATCCCCATTAATACAGAAGCATATCCAAGAGCACTTACCCGTAAATAAAAATAGATAAAACTAATACTCTTCTTTTAGCCTTGCAGGAGAAGATGGATGGTTTCGCTCATGAATCGCTAGTCGATAGTGAGCGTGCTGAAGTCACAGATCACTGTTTAGCCGGAATCGTGTGGCTATCCAATGAGGTCAATGATGCAGCGAGCTACATTCCTACATATGGTCAGAGGGTCTATGCAGAGGTGCGCAGAGTTAACAATATCACTGCATGGGGAAGTTGCTCTTACCTCGTCAAGGCAATCAAAGCCCTGCAGGAGAAACTGAATGAGACGCGTACTGTATTCGAACCTCAGTCTCAATTAAGCTTCAAGACCAAGCAGAATGCCCCCTCCATCTCTCTCTCCGACGTCGCTACTTTGGCCACTGAAGGCTGTCGCAGTATCCCAGGCGACCGCTCCCCAGGTACATCGTCTATCGGGTTTCTGCCAACCAAAGTTCGAGTGACCCATCCACCCCCTTCAATGAACCAGACAAACAGCGGCAGGAGTGGCCAGAAGTTGAGCCAACTTCATTCCTGGGAATCTCGCCCACAGAGGTGCAGGCTAAATCTCAACTAGAGTCGGAGCCTGTCCCGGCATTCGCAGCTAGTGGAGTATCCTCTGTCTCTGTTGAAAATCATCACAACCTCCACATAATGCTCCCGGCTTCGGGTTCAACGTCTACGGTTCCTGCATCTATTACCTCTCTACGGCATTGTATCATTGACATGACGATTCCAACACAGACGGGAATCCTTATGCTAGTCTGACTGTCAAAGGCGTCCGAGAGAGCTTGCTGATTTGCGGCCAAGTAAACGGACCAGCATATAACCGAGGTAGAGCACAGTATAATTGTGGTTTCATGTCGCCAATTCCACATGCACAACTGTACCGACGATGACGTCTACATCAGCTGCTCGAGCAATCCCATCATCGAAGAATGTTCCAATGTCCGACTTGGCCGTATACCAAAGGCATACGTAAGCTTTACATTCTACTCTGTTCCCGGATATCCATTCTAATGCTCCTATCTAGGCCCTGAACCATGACCACCTTGATAACCAAGACCACTGGAATGAGGTTGAAGATTTCAAATGGATTAGGCCTGAGCCCAGCCGGAACTGGAGTCTTCTGGGCCCTGGCGATGTGGTTCCGGAGGAAGTCTGGGCCGAGATCGTTCCCGGTGGACCGGGGTGGTCCCTGGAGGATATCCTTCATGCCATCAGATTGGTGAAGACATGAAGTGTCTCCCGAATATATGGTACAGCCGGCTGAAAAAGTTCCACTCGAATTAGAAGTTCCTCTATCATTTCTTTTCACATCTTCGGCATCTTTCATCTTTCATTACCCTTGATACACACTTGATGCGTCAAAAGGAGTTTACGATCTTTACGACGTTTATTTTCAAGATATCGGACGTTGCGCCTAGGTCATTTTTTTGAGCCAGGCCCACGCCTTGTTCATCCTTCTCAATCATTTATGGCACGACTGAAGTGATGATTCAAAACTTGGTCCTCTATGTACTAGGTGGGTAGGGGAAATAAAAAATTCCAGCTGCTGTCACTTCTAAGTAGTAACCAAGTCTGTCCTTATTTAAGTCTTGACATGGAAAGCAACGACTCGATTTTCCAAGTTGGAACCAGAATCATCGATGTAGCGGAACTTTCCCGAACTCATATATCCTGCAACAAAGTTAGTAACCAGCTCCGTGAGAACCTGAACCTGATCACTTTACCATTTACCATCCTGTGTAAGTAAATTATTATCACTGAAGTTGATGAGAATATAATCATTCCCCTCTTTCCGATTAATAGGCACAAGGACCAAAATTCCTTCACTTCTCGTTCAGCAGGAAATTATCCTGCAAACCGCCAATATGCGCTCTGAACTTCAACAGCTCCTCATCAACATTGTAGTGCGAAAAAGTTCAGTACTGCGCAGAATTAAAATGCAAATCGAGCACATACTTTGGCGAAGCTAGCAGCTTCGCAGAATAGGTCCAAGGGAGAGCTTTCGAATACGGAGAGCGCAGCATTAACATCCAACGCGGTGGTCAGATAGATGATTCTTTCATGTGCAATGTTAATAGAAAAGGCCAGTTGAAGCCCGTGCGGAGTACTAAGAAAATGATGCGACGTTGACAGAGACCATGTGGTTCGCAGAGCCTCTTATCCACAACCTAGATATCGCATTTTATCTTCTTTGTCTTTTTTCGCCATGTTGACGGCCGTTGAAACACGTCGTCGGCGCTTTTCTGCGGACCACCGGGGGTGTTGAAACGGTGCCAACAGTGAGGGAGGCTTTTTGATATACTCAATCATCAAGAAAAAGCCGCGATGCCTCCGAATACTGCATCAGATCAATGGGTAAATGTTGAACCAGCTGAGATCTGAGGTCAGCGGTGTTGAGACCCTCACAATTCGCAGCAATCATTACATCAGGGCAAGGGTAAGGGCTGAGCACAATGCTATAAGTACCCGAACTCTCGCCAGCAGAACGGTCGTTCTCAAGCATTCCCTTGTCATCCTGGAGCAAAGAATATCGAACACTTCTCGACTTCGCCAGCTGCTCTCTTCCAGTATGGACTGACCCGACCCCGAAATGTCATGCACTTGTGATCGAACTGACCTGTTGTATCGCCCGTAGTCCGTCTATGCTCGACACTGGAATCTGTTAACGACAGGTAAGTTTAGTTACCCGATCATTTGAGACCATGCTAACGTGGAAGATGTTTAATATCAGTTCCGTCTCGGTTGTTCCTCTGGGAATTCAATCAACGGACCTGGAATGGTCTCGATAATAAACTCAGGGTGCGAAGACAGTGAGTTATGAGGGGCCCCCATAAACTACCTACTGATGGTTTATCATAGATCGAAACCATCCACTACCAAGCCGAGTTGACCAAACTAGAATGCCGCGCGCAGCAGTAGCTGGCAAAGTAAGTTTCGATCAGTATGGCAGTTTTGAGAGTAGTTAGCCTGTGCTGACGATTCTCCGTATAGGAAGCCGATTGTTTTACCATGGGCCAGCCCATGTCTTGTGAGTTGCCCCACGCGTTGCCACTGCCTATTCCCAATGCCCGGGACTGCATTTTGAGCCTCAGTGCGGAATCTATCTGTTTGTGGCTCTCTATTCTTCAGAAAATATCGCTGATGTCTCTTTCTCGTGATAGGGCGAATGTCAATATTGTACTCGACACGACCGAGCCGTATTCCCCAATCGTCCTTGAAATTATGCCAGGTGCACTAGCCTGATGGGCCAAGCCACTGACTCCTAGTAAGCTTGCGCCTTCGTTGTTTCTAAAGTCCTGGTTGAAACGGTCACTTCGCCTGGCGTATTTAGCGGGCCCAATTCAGGAAGGCTTGAGGCCCTCCGGTTAGCCATAGGGTAGCATTCCAAAGTGTTTTGATCCCTCCTGCATTATCCTGTCCGATCAAAGGTTAACTGTCCCTGCCTTAGGAAATTTCCGTATTCCGACGGCTATGAACCTCTTGCCCACGTCCGATCCGAAGCCTCGTCGGCAGCCATGACCCGGTCCCATACTAGACTGAGTGAGCCATCGCAGCATCCGATGACAACGAAGAGAAGTCTAGCATCGACGACCACCGAGAGAGACCACGGTCTTTATGAGAGCAGAGCCAACCAATGATGCATCAAATTACCGATCACGAGCTGAGGGTCAGCGCTGTCAAGCCTGGTTGTAGCTGAGCAAGCGACAAGCCAGGCTGCAGCACTGGATCTACCCCAGATCTCTCGCCGTGAGAGCAGTCGCTTTCAGGTCAGCTACTAGTTTGCCCTAGACCAAATACCATGAATATCTCCTTCAGTGGTACTTTGTCCTGACACGGTTGAAGATTTACCTGTCACACGAACAGCAAAGACGAAACAGCTATGCATTGGCAGATATTGCCAACATCCATTTCCAGCGATACGGAGTCATCCCGGGCCCTCGTGCATTTGTAATCGAGCTGAGCCCGCTAACTCGTACCTGGCTTGCCTATGCTGATGCCAAACTACACTGACAGCAAGTCTGTACTACCCTCAGTCACCAGAAATCGTGCTGACATGGAGGGGCAGTGAAACACAGCCCTGGTTCGGCCGTTCCCACGAGTTCGATCGGAATAGTGTATTGTGGCTGGTATAAGGGGATCTCATCTAGGCCACGAGTACGGTGAGTTGCGAACACCTATCTTGCGCCAGCTGCTGATAATTGGTGCTAGATCGATTGTATCCAACGGCAAATTGCTTCGGCCGTGTCACAATGCAGATGGTGATTTAAAGCTGCTACCATGGCCTGCTTGATTAACGAAGCTAGCAAGTACGTTTTCATCACTAAGATAGTTTGGAAGCCAACTAACCATGTTGTCAGGTCGCTTATGATGAAGTTGGCTATTTTCCCTCAATGCTATGCTCAATGCAGCCGCGAGCCGACCGAATGCCTCCCCGATTTCACCACCGAGTGGCACGGACACGCCGGCAAAAGCCGCCTTGCAAAGCACGACCAGGTCGATTGCCGCGACGGTTACAATTGCCAGATGATTCTCCGAAAAATGCCAGGTCGAGTTGTGATTGTTGTAGTTCAGAGGTATGAATTATCTTATTGTTCAGAGGGAAACATTAGGCTATATATATACAACGAGAAGAGCAAGTTGGTTTCCAATCAACTTGGTTCTTCGTATAGATACCTCGGGATTAATTCCGATGGTTCGGCTTGGTTCCTGATCTGCACCAGCCTCATATTACAACATTATCAACCAAAGAGGGCTTGTTACAGTACAGCTGGGGCTGGGCGCTCGGAAACATAAAGCATGTTTCTCGCGGGTAATATGCGTTCTAATTCCTCTATGTTGTGTGCGTGGAACCTATACCATATCTCCCATTATACCCTGGATTTTTACAGCTGAAAGAGCCATTAATATTTGATACCATCTGAGGCATCAATTCAACCTAATTATTACCGCGGGATCAGTCATGTGAAACTCATTTTTTTGCGAGGATGTTTTTTTTCCACGTTGGTCAACTTAACCTTGCGACTATCATTCCGGGATCAGACACCATTCTATTCCAACCATTGCTACAGTGATATTCGAAATTAGTTTTACCTGCAATCTCTCTCTTGTTTCCCGGGCCCCATCTCAAGGCACTAGTCTGTATTAGGATATTTATCCGCCGCCTTACGTTTGTCCATGTATCCTCAATGAGTCAGCGTAAATTACAGTAAGTTTCCATAGGTTTCTACCCCTCAGTTTTTTTTTTTGATTTTACAGACAGCACAGCACGACTCGATTCCCCCAGTGACCGGAAATACGTAACGCAACAATCATTACAGCCCACAATTCCCTTATCCAACTTTGACTCTAGTGCGAGCAACCCTTCAACCCAGAGTGCCATGGAAGCCTATACTCACTCCATGCAGGCCCATACACTGTCACAGATATCGTCTCTTGGCCTAATCGAAGATTATGAGATCAGCGACAGGAACTCTGACAATATCCCCATCAGCGGGCAAACTCCACAGCCCACAATTCCCTTATCCATCTTCAACACTAGTGCGAGCAACCTTTCAACCCAGAGCTCTATGGAAGCCTATACTCACGCCATGCAGACCTATACCCTGTCCCAGATATCGTTCCTTGACCTGAGCGAACATCACGAGATCAGTGACAGGGTCTCTGACGACTTCCCCACCAAAAATGTGCTATACCAGGGCCCTGGTCCCAACGCAGTTAAGACTGAAGAAGTCGCACCGCAAGCTGTCACTGGTGCAGAATATAGCCATGCTTAGCGTATACCCACTTTTGTTATGCGAAGCTGGCATAGTGATGATGCCACCTGTGGATGTTTAGTAACAGAATGCGTTGATATGTAATTTATCTTTCTCTCAAGACAGGCCGTTAAGATTCTTTATGATTCCGGTTTATTGCATTCTGAAGAAATCCCCATATTCTTTGTTCCCTAGTTATGCCTTGTTTTCATTTCTTTAGCGTGACTTTCTGTTCTCTGAGTTGAGCTAGGAAATTATTTGGTTTTTTTATAATTCTCAGATATCTTTCCACTAGGTTTCCAGCGATGATAAAAGGCAGGGGAGGGCACAAGTACCAAGCCAGATCGCCCCAGATCCACTTTCCCCATGGGGATTTAAGACCCTGCCTAGAACGCCGTATCGGATCCTATAGAACTTACTGTAATTTACGCTGACTCATTGAGGATACATGGATAAATATCCTAATACGGACTAGTGCCTTGAGATGGGACCCGGGAAACAAAAAGAGAGAGATTGCAGGTAAAACTAATTTCGATTATCATATTCTGAGATGACATACCCTGAAAGGAATCTTGTATGGGCTCCAAGGAGACACAGCATTAGCTAAAGCATGTACATTTAGATCAGTGATAGTTGCCCTTTTGGTTCAGCCGCCGGGCGTTAATGAATTGTGTGTGTGTGTACACTGTTACAAATGAAGACGAGTGAGGTATTTTGGTCCGCACAGGGCACCTGCGGTCTAAATACTGGCGATGAAGGCCTCCTTGACAGAGGGCTACAGCGCTTACTGTACTGTATTTTTTCAGAGAATGATGTTAAAATTGTATCTTTTGTCTGCTCCATCAAACCCACAAATCCAAGAAAGGAAAACTAGGTCTTTTCCTTGCCTCCTCTGGTTGCTTAGGAAGACCCATCAAATGGCTCACTGCTAACTGGGCTCCTCGCACACCATAATCCATACTGACGGCTGTCTCATCTGGTATTTCCACAAATTGGCCTATCGCAGCGAGATTGGTCATCTCGTCTAGTATTACCCTTGGCCGATCTCCACGAATTCGAGGCAACAGTGATGCTGTCCTTCGTGGCATCACAGATGGGATTGTGATGGAGTTGTTAAGGATTGGCTCCAAAGGGAATCCCAGGTGCCATAGCAGTTCGGCCATTATTTCCTCACCAGAGCAAACGAGCATCGGCTTTTTCACGAAACTGCCCTCACGTTCTGGACAAAGGCCATAGCCCCAGAGGATTTGTACGTTGTCAGGTTGACAAGAGAAAAACGGCTGGCGGGGTATGCAGACGCTGATCTTCCAATTGCTGTGTTTTAGAGATATCAAGTGCCCTATTCCAGGCTTGTCGCATGTCAGTTTAACGAGACGATCGAAGAACTCAGCATCCTTGAGTGTAACCGTAAAGGTCTCCAACCTAGACTCAGTGAGGCGAGTGCAGAAATTGTACGGATCTCCAAAGCTCGGATACTTTGTTCCCAGATCCAGCCAAAGCGACCAGTTTTCATCTAGCTCATCTTCGGCTATCATTGTCTTCAGAGGTGGCGGGCTTTTGTTGGAACCACTCGACGAGCCTGATGTGACAGATCCAAGGGTGACGATAACGATGTCATCAGGACGAACATTTAATGTTTCCTGGAAGCTGTCGCGCAATATACTAATCGCTGAAACGGTTTCTGTACCACGGTCTGAATGTGTTACAATATCCGTGACCTTGGTGCATAGTCGGAAATCAACACCTTGGTTTTGAAGAAATTGGATCATTGGCATGATGATTGATTCAAATTGGTTGAATTGAATGCAGTCCAATGGTTTTTTAGTGTTCAAGTTTCGAAATTCGTGGAAGTATCTTCGAAGGCATCGGCGGAATTCGGCAGCACTGTGCCACGGCTGGAAGGTAAATCTAATATTTCATTCTTAGCATTTATGCGATCTCTTTGTCTTCTTTTCGTCAGGCAGCTCACATAGTAGAGAAAACAATCCAAAATATGCTGTCGAAAAAGGGCTTGTTGAAAAGCTGATCAATTCGCTTTCTGGTCAGCCTTTCCTCGGATCGCAACATGAGCATCGTCAATTTCATTCGATCTTTTAGGCCCAGGCCGAGTTTCCCGATTTCCATTCTCTTCGGCCCATCATCTTCTTGAGCCAAGATGTGTGTGATAGGAACGTCTTGACAGCCTTCATGGTCATGCAATTTTTCGATATCCTCTTTGACTGTTCTTCCCGAACCGCAGGCGGAAGGCACCAGAGCAAGCAGCTTTCCCAAGCAGACGTCATTGAAACTTGGCAAGCATCCAGGTCGATGATCGTATCCGTTCAGTGGATCACCAATACTAGTTATGCCGTCTCCAGGGGTACTTTGAGACTCGAGTATATGGATCTGAGAGGGAGGCACGTTGGCATCCGAAATCAAATGAACTGCCGCCGCCAATGACGCAATACTGCTCCCTAGTATCCAAGCGTCGACCTTGTTAGGCATCCGACGGCCTTGGACTAGGGCAGCGTTATGTTGTTGTGCCATCATAGACCCCCGGTAGTTTCAAAGGGTTGATCTTGATATTCTCCCAGAGATTCCGCCATGTTCTGGTCCATCTGGTTGTCCCGATGATGTAATTTTTGGGGGATGGTGTTTGCATTGTTTGGTTAATCAGGTGACCCGCAGTTCTCTCCTGCTATGATTGATTGATTGATTGATTGATTGATTGAGATTCCGAATATTAGAGAGGAAAAAGCGAGGAATTGATAGGAGAGAGGTTAAGTATTTCCAGCCTATTAACTAACCATTCAACCTCCTCTGCGAGGCAAGATGCTGGTGAAGCGCAGCGAGCGCGGAGGGAACGCGTCTACAGACGCGTCTGGCCCTCCCGCTCCCGACGCAGCGCTCGATCCGCCCACCACGAGGTCCGGCCTGGTTCGCCAGATGCCAGTGGCTACGGTGACCCAAGGGAATGATGCAGACGGCGAAATCGCAACTGGCCCTCCCCAAAGCCCAAGCCAGGGACTGGCGCAAAACCCCCTGGAGTAAGTTTTAAGACTCTGTCAAGCTGAGAGGTGGTATTTTACCACTAAGAACTAGCTGATTCAGCGACTACCCACTCCTCCATATGTTTTTGTATGGTAAACCGGGTCAACTCGGAATACCAGCTGTGTAACACGCTAATACTAACTCCTGAGAGCATGAGACGCTTTCAGCAGCGATCTCCTGGATAGTTCTTCAATCAACTCATTCAATTGGATCCCTGAGTACTAGCATGTACGGAAATCCTACGACCCGTTAGAATTTAAGGGGCGAGCATACGCGGCAGTGTACAGTGAGATCAAATAAGATGATTTGCGAGTGAAAATAGGGAACTGGGATTGATTTAGTTAGTTATACCAAGTAAAGGCACTGGTCTTTTCAATGTTGAGTTAATATTAATTAGGTAAGGCTGACGACAATTTTCAACAGAAAGGAGTACGGCACGACAATAAAGCCAAAAAAAAGTTGAGCCTTCGTTAGGCCAAGGCAAGCCCCATAAATGCATAATCGAGGATGGGCATGTGTAGCGCCAGACATTGGTGCCCTGAAACGAACGCAGTGAGAGAAAGGGAATAGGACCACCCCTGACCGCTCCACCAACCTCTGCTGCCCTTCCCACTACGGACTTCCGCGCCAAGCCCACTGCTCATTCGCTGCTTTTTTCGCTCTCTTGGGTTTAGCGTACACATCTGCGTGCCTTGCCCTGTTTGCCTACCTTGCTCTCACTGCTTGCACTTACGTAAGATTTCTCTTGAATCTGGTGTGGTTGTATGGAATATATTTATTATCTTTTCCGCTGCCCACCCTGCTTTTCGCGACGCCTTTTTCCCTGTTCTACGGAACTAAAATAGATTGTCTGTCTTTTTGATTTCTTTTTCTTCATGATGTGAGATCGTTTCGTTTGCTTCGCCGTGCTTGCGGGACTTGCCACGCTCGTCGTGTTCCTAGGTCATGAGACGTTTCCAGGTCGCGAAGTTGTCACTTCCTGTCAAAGGCTCGATGGCTGTGACGGCTCGGTCGGGCGAGTCGTGAACCATAGCAGACATGGTGATGGCTGTGAAAGCGGGGTAGATATATAGTTAAGATAATCAAGATGATTCTCAGATGAGTAGAGACGGCACCTGAGAGTTGCTGCCGGGCTCATAACCTGTTGTAGTTCAGAGGTATGAATTGTGTTATTTATTCTGAGGGAAACATTAGGCTATATATACAACAGAGAAGATCAAGTTGATTGGAAATCAACTTGGTTCTTCGTATACATACTTCGGGATTAATTCCGATGGTTAGGCTTGATTCCTGATCTGCACCAGCCTCATATCACAACAGTCAGGCCTAGACCCAGGAGAGCCAAGGGTCCAGGTGGGGCGTGCCACTCCACCCGCTCTCTCCGCCCCGAACTCTTGAAATTTCTTATTTCAACGTTGATAAACCGCCTCAACGCCCTACGAAAATGCGGCCGCCCGGTACGAATGTCGAGTGAAATCTCTGGGTCCGGCAAAATGTACGCAAGTGGTCGCTGCCAAAACCCCTACTCAGAATGGCATAAAATTTTCTGGTCGAAAAGAAAAGCAGGACTTTCCTCCTCACACTCCCGAGCACCCGGGTGTTCTTCGCAGGATCAGATCTGCGTTACCAAAAAGTCTTCGCGGGAAAGGCCCCGCGTAATCAAGTTTGCCTCGCAGGGTCCGCTGCGTTACCAAGGGAGACCCGCTGGAGAGTGCTGCGTCAACAAGTTCTCCCTCGCAGCAATGAGCCCTGTGATTGTATAATCATGAGCTTCCATGCAGCCTTGAGCCCTGCGTTATCAAATTTGTGCTCGTTTAGGCGACCAGTGGCGCCGCGGTTCTCGTCCTGATCCTCTGGCGATTGCAGGCACCACTTCGCGGTGTCAGAGACTAGTATTCGGGTCCGTCTGAGATCTCGAAGAAGCCAAGACCTGCTCCAAAGAATCGATAGAAATCAAGAATCCTCCAATGAGGCTTTGTATGTTATGCCATTCAGCCTGTTTGTAGAGTTCAATATTCATGTTCCTTATTCGCGTAGCGTATTTTATAGCCTTAAATCACGCCCTGAGTTCCGATGATGGGCATTTTCTTCAGCGTAGTGTGAAGTAGAGCATTGAGTCATGGGGCCGGTTGAGATCTCGGTGTATGACAGCGTGGTGGCCAATCTGGGCGACGGCTCCAATCCAAAAGTAGTCTCCATTGGTGTGAATGCTTGCTTGTGTCTTGCCTAGGAGTGGCGGTCTAATTTGTCCGGAGAGGCGAGTATTGTGGACTTCGAGGATGGCGCGTGTTGAGTGTAACAGTTGAGAATGAGGGAGAGGGTGAGGGTGAAGGTTGAAGGTGAGGTTTGACGGTGATTGATGGTGTGTTGATGGTGAGGGGTAGAGGTGAGTGAGAGTTGAGGGTGAAGAGTTGGTGATAACGGGGCCGGACCAGTGGGTCCCTTTGTTGATGTGCAGTGCGGTGCGATTACCGAGCGATGAAGTGGCTGCCACCGGTGACCACCCATCGCCGCATAGCGCGAATCTTCGTTCCGTCACTAATCATTCAAAAGCTGATATACAGTGCAAAATTATGCTGTCCATCGGCTTGAATCTGGTAGCACAGCAAAGTGCAGTGTATTCAATACGCCGTACATATGGCCTTTTCTGAAACATCTCGGCCATGAGCTAGGGGTTGCGTGATGCAACTAACTTGGGTTTCCAAGTCTAAAATTATGTTCAAGTGTATAGTAAAATGTATCCTTATCTCTACTCCGGTCGCTCTTCTGTGCGATATCCATTCGGTTCGAGAATTGTCGCGTGCTCTTTGATGACACTATGTTTCTCTTAATAGGATACACAGCCGTAAGGTGGCGTCGCTTTACGATGAACTGATATCTGCAAAATATATAATCCCAGACCTGCTCAGCAAGATCGTCTCCCTTGTGTGTCGGTCTATAGTTGAAGCTTAGCTAAGCCTCCTTGGGATATGTACTCGACAACAGATGAAAGGCGTTTCATATCTGGATCAAATCAAGAGTATGTTAATTTGTCAAGGGAGTTAGGGGGGCGGGGGCGCAAGTGATAACATCACTAGGGCCCATTTGATTAGCCCCTGACGTGTACTTGTTATTGGCCAACAAAAACCGTACCACCAGCGCATTGCTGCCTTGCATCACATGACTAGTCAAATTGGATTAACTTTCGGCTCTTTTTGCCGTCTATACCAGCAGCGCTTTCCCGGGCAGCGTTACAGCAAGGAGTTTCAATTAATTCGGGTTCCGGTTGGAGGGTTTTTATACCATCCAATATTCTTTTCAAAACGGAATCTACGATGGGAAACAAAGTTACTTTTGATGTATGCATTCATTGGACTGCATGCCCGTCGTAGATAAACCTAAATCAGAGCTATTTATAACGAATGAGCCTGTCTTTTCCAGGCCACAATTCCCATCCATCCTGGAAACTTAAAAGTCCTTTAACAGAATCGAGACCTCATATTTGATTTAAAACAGCGATGGCAAATGATTTTTGGGGATTTGATGGTCCATCTTGGTCATCAGCTATCGAGGACGAACGAGCGTTGGTTTCTGACTCGAAAGGTTAGTACTCAAGTTGTTTCGTCAACTAGTCAAATATTGCTATTCTGAGTATCTGAATGTTCGTATTCAAATATTATAGAACCTGGTTCTTCTCATCCAAAGCGAAGATCTTCCGCAAGACAACCAGACGACCAAAAATCCGTCCTCCGAATGGAAGATGCGACCGGAGAGGATAAAATCTGGGGGTTTGACCCAGATCTATCTTGCCTATCTTTCTGTGCCACACAAAGTGTCGATAAAAATTCGCGTCGCGTTGACGTACCCAAGGTTCAGGCCACTAGCCACTCCAGTGCACAACCATTCCAACCTGAAAAAAAAGAAAATTGAGACTAGGGGAGCTTCCCTTCCCCCCACGAACGTACAGCCAGTGAAGAACTAGCAAAAAAAACCAATAATCTTCGAATAAAAGTATGAGCCTCCTAAAATGAATGGTGCTGTCAAGCTGCTGATTTTACATGCCTGTGCGGGGATTGTCTGAAGCCATAAAAACTCAGCAAATCTGAGGCCGAATATCAATGTATAGTTCGTCTTCTGCATTTCAAATAGTTAGCAGCTATTAGTCATCGAGAAACATATGAACTAGTTATTCATCGTTCAGCTCTTTCGACCTCTTTGGTAGATTGGTTTGTCGGAAGTACTCTATTTCCTTCTCTATTTTGTTCCAGGGCCGATGCGTGCAACGCGCGCGTCTTCCAGAACCAAGGAACGGCGAAGCAGGGGTTGTTTTCTAAAGTAGCCTAATACGGCCTAGCGTAATTTCTAGTACGGACCGAGAAACAACGCGTGAGATTCCATAGGGAATCCATTTTCGAAATCTACTGGAAGTTGTACGGAAAGTTGGCCGGGGCCGGGCATATTTTCTGACTTAGCTGTACACGGGCCAATTGGCTATCCACATACGCCAAGCTCTTTCGTTTCCGATAGCACGATCAGGGCGTGTGCGACGCGCAAGAAAAAGTCACCCATGTCGTGGTGGACTGCCCAATGCTGAAGGACTTACGGATAGAATTGAGACGGAATGTTGGGGATGCGTTCAGCAGCGTGTCGAGTGTGCCGGGAGGCTCAAAACAAGATGAGAAAGGTGAACCAGACACCGTCTCAAGGGCGAAGACGGTCCAGGCCATATTGGACTTCGCCGAGGCGTCACGACGGTTCCGCAATCGCGCGCCATAAGGGCAGCCTAATAGTGGGAGCGGCAACTAGGCCATGGCAGGCCGTGACGAGGCTCTACGTTCGTTGTCAGGAAGTGGGACAAGCTAGATGTACGGACAGGGATATATATAGCTTGTGGTAACCAGCATATCGCTTTCAAAGTTGATTATAAACCTCACCCACTAGGCTGATAACGGATTCGTTTTTGGTCTAGTTGGGTAAACCAACTTTCAAAATTGCGAGGGGTCAGGGTAAATGAAATCATCACCATCATCGACGGTATAATACCAACAAAGCACGCGATGTGGCTCTGGAGAAATGCCTTGATCTCATGCGTATTTATGAAGATCAAGACCTGGATTTCTTTGTCATGCGTGGTGTTAAGGTAGGTGCCGCCTGGCGATTCGTACGCGACATCGGTTTTTGGGTGAAGCAACGTGGAGAAATTACTTGCTGCGAAAACAATAGTGCTTCAGTCTAGATATTCCAAGCGAATAGAGATTTTTCAGCTGAATTCGGTAATTACTTCCCTACATGAATTTGACACATGGTTTCAAACGGTTGGTTTACCAAGTGCACACCTTTAATATCCATATAATACACTGCTACAGTAGAAGTCAGAAACAGTTCACCTCCAAGGCACTCATACCTTGCTCTAGGCCCGTACCCAGTTGGCATGAGAACACCATATATATAGTGGAGAGGTGATGTATGACGTATAAGGGTGCGATACAGTGTGTACCATTGTGTATTGCTAGAATCTCCTATGAAAAGACAGGAGACCTGACAATCTGGCTTCATCGTTTTTACTGCCATGGTCACTTCCTTGCTTCATCTCCCTCTATGTTCGTCAACCATCCACATTCGGTTCAAGACTGCTCATATCCAGCCACCTCCAAATATCCGCCTTGCTCTTGAACCTCTGCTTGGGGCTCACGTAGAAGCAAAGGGTTTGCTGTTGGTAGCAGTGTGAGCACTGCGGTCGCGCGTGATCGCAGTGGACGTTTGATTCCCGACATGCTTTGCAGTCCAATGAGTCAGTCTGGCATGGCTGTATATAAAGCTGCGGACGGGCCGGATGCGAGTGGGCAGGGGGTTCCACAGCGGACAGGAATGGTTCATCTGTAATTGCCGACCGTAGTAGGTTATCATGGTCAGACGCTTCCCGAGTTGTGGGCGGCCCAACCGGGCACCTAGGGACGGCTGTACTGTCTTCGGCTGGATCTTCGGTCTGAGCAGGGCATCGGCAGGAATCATCCTTGGATTTGAGAGCACTTTCTTATGTTTGTCAGTTATGCGGGAGTCTGAGATCAAACTTCTGTTGACTTGCCGTGACGCCCAACATGTCATTTTGGAAAGAAGAATGCGTCAGCGAGCTTTTACCGCCTGTGAGAGTGGAAAGTTTGTGTCGCTGGCATATCTGGTAGGGACATGGGGAGAGATTCGATTGAAGAGGCTGGCCTGCTCTTCGCCGAGCTTCTGAGATTTCTTTTTTTTTCTGAGGTGAGCAAAATATAAAATATCAACTTGAAGCTTTCAACCGAGAGCGAATACACCCAGCAGCTTTGTGCTGAACATCGAAAGAAATTTGTTGGCTTGAAACGGCGATGGCAGGAGAGTTGCATGCAGTTTTGCGGAGCCTTGGCCGATCCGAGTAAGACTAGTTATGACTGAGCTTGGCCTCGCCAAAACCTGCCCAAGACAACCCAACCGGTTGGGCTGGATCTTAGTCAGCAATCACGTGGGCGGTGTTGAATATCCCGTTGCACAAAGACGTTCTGCGGATGCGCCACCGCCGTGTAGCGGTCTCGCAGCAACTTCGGCACGCTGACCGGGTTTATCCGGACGCGTGGCGCGAAGTACACTTTCTTCAACACCAGGGATTGGTTGAATTTCCCCCGGAGCGTGAGTTTCACCGCTCCAATCCCTTCCCAGCAGATGTGGCTGGTAGCGGCCGAATTCAGGATCCACTGGAGTGACGGTGCGTGGGTATAAAGGGTCGTCGCCCTCGCCCTCACGAAGTTGATCCGCGGTCTCTTGGAAGTCGGCGGGCCCTGTCGTTCTTTAACCTGGCTTGCTGGTATTTTCCGTATGATATTTCTTGGTGAGCCGGAAGTACTCCGTTCTGCCTTCACGGCATGGTCCGTTTGTTGTGGGCGCAATTCAGGGTGTTTCTTCCAACATTGAGCGGACGTGTGGTCTCGCTTCTTGTGGACTGTATTGATGGATGATCCTAGTGTTGCTTCCTCGTTCTGGTCCGAGAAGAGCCTGACGGGACGAGGATCATCTCGGATTTCAGATACACTTGGGCAGATGAGGATAGAAACTCGTGTTCAATGTGAATTTAGATCTGCGAAGGAATGAACTTCGGGAAAGACTGAAGAACGCGCGGCTTACGCGCCTTAGCTCGTTTGTCGCCCTTTGACTTTTCCAATTGCACATCTTGACTCGCTCTCATTGGACTTATGAAAGCCGCTGTAATTGATGGTTCTATTTTTGAGTGGAGGGTCAACAGAAGCAAATTGATTCGATTGCATATCATACCGTTGAGTATTCCCCACTCATGAACAGCACACAGGACAGAACAACTCTGATAGAAGTCCCTAGAAAGCTGGATTCTCATTGAGTAAGATCATCGTGTAGTACAACTGAGGGTTACCAAGCCTGTGAACTGACCTTGTTTGGTATTCTGAGGAGCTAGTTGTTGGCACCCATATTGTGCCATCCTGACAATATCGGGAACTAGTGACAAACTAGAGATCGAAATTCTTCAAAATGATGTCCCGTAATCTGGTTGAACTTGTTTGGACCTGGGTGCAAAATCTCCGCTTTCATGCTTTTGCATTGCTCGCCGTGGGGTACGATATAATATGCCTCTGCGCTTGTGCCGAACTTTCGAAAAGATTCTGTCTCGTTATCTTCCTAAGTGACCAATGAGTCACGCATGTGCTGTGCTAACTGAATATCACACGCCATATACTGGAGCAAGCATCTGGTATGGCGCATATATCTGAACTCGGTGATTCAAGGGGTCGAGGAGGCGCCGAACACTGAAGGAACGGAGATAGCCTGGGGTTCCCGAACGACATGACAGCAGCAAGACCCACTTTTGCGCCCTTTCCAGCCGCGGTTGGAGGAACTACTGCTTCTTCCTTCTACTTTCCTCTTCCCCATCTGCTTTTCCATTATTCCACGCTTCTCATAAGGCATCGCCTTTCACCCCATCTGCTCTCTCATCAGCTAAACTCTCTCACCTCATCATGCCTCCCAAAAAAGCAACTGGCGCGTTCAAGAAGGCCGCTCCCGCCGCTCACCCCTCCTATCGCGGCAGGTTTTCACTGATCCTGAGCCACAGGCCCCGCGTAAATGCGATCGTGGCATCGCCCGTGTCGTGAAATTTCTGCTGATACCGGCAATATAGATATGATCAAAGATGCTATCGTCAACGTGAGTAGACCACCGCCGGTGCCCGGCGTGTTGTGATTCGGGTTGCGCGCCCGAACGTGACGCGTTCGACCGTTTCACTTGAATAGCCACCACAACAATGTGGATGGGCTTCATTTATCCTTTTCAATTGCTGACTGGCATATCCGCCTATAGCTGAAAGAGCGCAATGGTAGCAGGTATTTTTTGCACATTTCAACTCGTCGTCGCGACCTAGAGAGAGACTCCTTCCATGGTCGCGTCGGGCTTTCGTCCCACAAAATGATACTGACTTTTCTTCCCGCAAAACAGCCGTCAAGCCATCAAGAAGTATGTTATTTCGAACAACCAGATCAACGTTGCCTTCCAGGCCACTTTCGATGCCCAGTTCAACAAGGCCATTAAGGCTGGTGTTGACAAGGGCGAGTTCACTCAGCCCAAGGGTGAGTCGCGTTTCCACTCCAGGCTTGTCATCCGGCACGGTCTTTCGTCCCGTTTGATTCCGCGGAACCTGGATCCTGCAGAATCGGTGACGGGGACATCGTCACCATCGCGCTACTTTTGAAATAAGTTGCTAACGTGTCGCATCACAGGTCCCTCTGGTCCCGTGAAGCTGGCGAAGAAGGAGCCCGCCGCTAAGCTTGCGGCGAAAGTCACTAAGACTGCCACCGATGTAAGCTCTCTTCCTTCAATGATGCTCGTTGGCACTGATCTGACAACCCGAATAGAAGACCACCAAGGCCCTCGCCGCCAAGAAGGCCGCTACCAAGAAGACCACGGCAAAGACTACCATCAAGCCTGCAGTGAAGAAGACCGGCCCTAAGAAGGCTGCTGGCAAGCCCAAGGCTAACTCTGGCAACATCCGCAAGACCACCCTCGTATGTTCACCCTCGCTGGCGCGATTTCTCCCGCCGTCATGAATCACGGACTGATTGTGCCAGGCCCCCGCTGTTGTCGAGCAGCCCAAAGTCATCAGCAAGACCAAGTCCGGCCGCGTTACCAAGACGACCGCCCCGCCCGCCAAGGCCGCCAAGAAGAAGCCAACTACCAAGAAATAAAGGGCCCTCTGCCTTTTTCATAGCCGGATGTCGCCTCCCCGATTTTTACATTCGCTCTCCCGGGGAGGGTCATCTTCGTGTTTTGCATCTTCCTTCTTCCGTTGTAATTTTAATGCTCTCAGCCCATTGATATGGTGGCTCTGATGGTTCTCCTTGGTGATTACTTTATCCTGGGATATCTTCGTTATGGTGGCTGAGTGTATTTTTTATCCAAAGTCAAGTAATGGCGTTCTGCGGTGGGGTTCTTATGAGTATTCCTTTTTCTATTGTTCGTGGTTGGAGATTAGTCGAAATTGAATCACTTGGAACCACTTTGGAATATAATGGCCATTGCCATGATTTTGGAAACTAATTCCTTTTTCTCGTTCTTCATGAAAAATGCATTGTGGATTTGGTCATGGGGCCTTCAATTGCAAGCTGTGTATGCTGTCAAAGTGGATAGTGGCGTGGTGTTGAAGACGGCCAGTTTCGACACGACGGTCTCGCGTGAATCGCGTCAAAGTCTAACCATCGATAGGAACCTTCAACGCCATGCGCTCGGATCAGTATAGAGCATCCGCCCCGCTTTTGGAACCTTGCAAAAGAAAAAAAACTCAAATCATTCATAGGTTTGATTAAGGCGAAAAAGGTCCTCAAAGCCTTTTGTACTGTTCTTGAAAAGATAGGGTCTGGGGCAGTGCAGACCTGTGTGTTCTGCAAAGCTTCAGTCGCTTCTCCTCGACTGTCCGGATCGGCGAGCTTGAACCTAGCAGATTCCAGATGCGGGCTTTGGTCGATAACTTGAGTAGTCCCTCCGATATATCAATATCTGCTGACTGGGAAAGTTTCCGAAGGAGGCTGACAGACATCCGGAGAAGGGCATCATGCTTGCTCAGCGCCCTCGAAATTACAACTCGCTTGATTTTTCCGAGTCATGTTCCGATTATTCGTTCGCTCTACGGGTGATCTTTGTTTTTTGACCACCTCAACTGAAAATGGTGAAACCACTTTTCCGTAGTTAGTTGGGCATGTCGACCGAAGTCAGGACCACCCGGCGGTCTTGAATTGAGAGTCATCGGGGCCCCGATTTAGGGCCTGCTCCGCCGAACGCGTGCCGCGGGAGGGACAAGGCGGTGTTGTGCACTCACTCGGCGTAGCGCGTCGTTCCTGAGCGAGTCGGGTGGGACATAGGGGAGATGTCTACTCTGAAAGAAACATCAGCGGCTACGTTTGAAGTCAACAAGCACTTCTTCTTCACCATGTATCACAAACCGACCTGGCATCTTTCGAATACCAATTGGACCATTGTGACCGTCGCGGCAATCGACTGGCCGTACTTGCGAGGCTGCTTCTGCCGGCGAGTCCGTGCCCCTCGGTGGTGACATCAGGAGGCATTCTGGCGGCTTGCGGCTGCATTGAGCATAGCATCGGGGGAACAAGACCAACTTCATTATAGCGACCCGACAACCTGGTTAGTTGGCTTCCAAACTATCTTAGTGATACTTGCAACTTCGTTTATCAAGTAGGCAATGGTGGCAGCTCACCGTCTGCATTGGGACACGGTCAAAGAAATTTGCCGTTGGATACACTCGATCTAGCACCACTTATTAGCCGCTGGCGCAAGATGGGTTTTCGCAACTTACCTTACTCGCGGCCTAGATGAAATTCCCAATAACAGCCACAATACACTACCCCGATCGGACTCTTAGGAACGGCCGGACCAGGGCTGTGTTTCACTGCCTATGTCAGCATGATTTCCGGTGAATGAGGGTGGTAGAGACTTGCCATCAATATAGTCTGGCATCAGCATGGACAAATCAGAGACGAGGTAGCAGGTGTCAGCTCGATCACACGTGCACGACGGCCCGGAATCACTCCGTACCGCGGGGAATGGATGTGGGTCATATCTTCCAATGCATAGTTGTTTCGTCTTTGCTGTTCGTGCGCCAGGCAAATCTTCAACCGTGTCAGGACAAACCATCACTGGAGGGGAGACTCATAGTATTTGGTCTAGGGCAAACTTGGAACTGACCTGAAAATGACTGCTCTCGCGGCGAGAGATCTGGGGTAGTTCCAGTGCTGCGGCCTGGCTTGTCGCTTGCTCAGCTACAACCAGAGCTTGACAGCGCTGGTCTTCAGCTCGTGGTCGGTAATTTGATGCATCATTGGCTGATTCTGCTTTTATAAAACCCGTAGTCTCTCTCGGCGGTCGTCGATGCTAGGCTTCTCTTTATTGTCGCCGGATGCTTCGATGGCTCGCTCAGTTTAGCGCGGAACCGCTCCATGGCTGCCGACGAGCCTTCGAACGGATGTAGAAAATAGTTTCATAGTCGTCGGAATACGGCTGACAATTAACCTTCGATCGGACAGGATAATACTGAAGAGATGAAAACACTTTGGACTGTTGCCGTATGGCTAACCGGAGGGCATCAAGCCTTCCTGAATTGGACCCGCTAAATACGCCAGGCGAAGTGGCCGTTTCAACCAAGTCTTTAAAAACAACGAAGGCGCAAGCATACTGGGAGCCAGTGGCTTGGCCCATCAGGCTAATGCACCTGGCTAAGTTTCAAGGACGGTCGGGCTATATAGCTCGGTCATGTCGAGTGCAATATTGACATTTGCCCTATGGCGAGAATGAGACATCAGCGATGTTTTCTGATGAACGGAGAGCCACAAATATATAGCGTTCGTACTGAGATTCAATATACAATACCTGGCGTTGGAAACGGGCAGTGGCAACGTACCAGGGTGGCGTGCAAGACATCTAGCGGCTTGTGATCGAATGTTTGCCTTCCTATAAAGGGAGTCGTGAGCACAAGACAATTACTCTCTGAATTGCCGTAGTGATTGAAACTTACGTTGTTAGCTATTGTGAGCGCTGCTTTCTGGAAAGGTCAAAGCGGCTGCATAAAGGATGGTTTTAATCTATCGTTAGTCATTAGTAGGGAGCTTATTAGGGTATTTATAACTCACCGTACTCGCAGCTCGGATCGTTTTAGATCATGCAAGGTCCCTTGAGTGGGTTCCCAGAGAAGTAGCGGAGGTGGGACTGGTCTTGAGCATATTCCATGTTAGCACGATTCCAAATGAACGGGTAGCTACACTCGCTTTGTTTTCGAAGACTTCAGTATTGAGCAAAGACAGCTAGCATATACTAGGGTCAGCTTAATCATAAGTGCATGAGTTCGAGGTCAGTCCACACCGAAGGGGAGTTGGCGAAGACGAAAAGCGTTTGATATTCGTGCCGCAGAATAGCAGGGAGGTGCTTGGGAACGATTGTTCTGCTGGCGAAGAGTTGGGTATTTATAGCATTTTAGCCAGTCCTTAAACAGCGCCGGTGTAATGGACATTACGAATTGTGAGGCTATCAACAGAGCTGGTCAATAAACTGCAACTAGCCCAATAACTCCTCATTAAAATTACCCAGCATTCGGAGAAATTTTGACTCTTTCTTGATGATCCAGTATATCAAGGGCATTCTCTCGCCGTTGTCACCCGTTCTAACTCTTCCAACAATATCACAGAAAGTATCGACGACACGTCTCAACGTCCATCAACGTGGGTCCGCATGTCATTTTCACAGGAGACGGCACAACCGCGACAATCTGATTGTCTTTTAGTCACCGATTATGACTGGTATATTTCGGCTGATCACATTTTAATTTCTGCCCCATGATAGATTGAGGTCAGATTTTGGATGTATGGGTAAGTGCCTGCGGATCTGCCTATTTAATCAACAAACCTAGAGGTTGACTCGCCTGGCACGCATTTTATTACAGTAAATAGTAAGAGGTGTAACTAAGAGTTTAATACAAGACACAATAGTGCCATTGCGAATATCTGAGGTAGGTCGTATGGAGCTGAATATCGGAGGTCCTTTTGGGTTGTGTCCTCATAATGGACATGTAAATCAGCTGAGTCTTTGGACCAAGCTTGGTAGTCACATGAAGTCGATGGAGCTAGCACTTGACCATTAAAGCTGGCTCTCAAAGGTTCGGACAGTGTCGATGAATATATAAACGAGGGTCTGTCCAGATAATAGTCTCGTTACGCCAATACTCACCCGTTGGATTACTCGCCAACAATGTCCATTCCAGAAGAAAGACGCGTAGGTGATGATGCCACCAAGGAGGACAGCTTCAAACAGCTAATCGATGAGTATTCAGCTCTGGAACTTGGGGAACGAGAAGCGACCGACGGGTCATTAACCTCCGAGAAAGCTGATAGCGAGGGAGCCCAGGCATCGATAAACTACGCCAGTGACCAGCAGGAGCAAGATGCCGAAGAGATTCACGATTTGGGAACTGAACAAGAGGCGGAAGAGTGGACGAATACATACCGAACACCGACAGAGCAAGCGAAACTCTCATTTTCGGAGAATAGAAGGCTTGGAGATCTTCATAGTAAATTGAGCAATTATTATCTAAGCCATCCCTCACGATTTGATGCACAGTTCAATACAATCAACGGCCAGCTTCAGTCTCAGAATGATGAAGAAGAGGCTGTGAATACCCAAGCCTCGAACTCTCATAATGATGGCCATCCTGAACAAGGATCCGGTGGGGACCCACAGGGTCAAGGTAGCTCTGAAGCCGCCAAAAATCCTCAGACTCCACCGTTCCCTCCAGATGATTTACGCCACACCAGGTCTCTGGAATCATCTCAGATGAGCAACCCCGAAATTGACAAGGATTTTCCAGAGGACAATTCTGCCGAATTGTCTTCGATGGGGATGGAACTTGGCGTAGCGAACTCACCTCGCCAAGGTAGCTACTGTTTACAAAGTCGCAGCGATAATGCTACTGATAACGATGGATCCCTAGGCTACCTTTGTCCAGTCTCTGGTGGCCCATGTGAGCTCTCGTCCAACCGAGAACCCATCAACAATGATCTAGTAGATGGGTGGGGAAATTTTCGCCGATCGACCTTCGTGATTATTCGATGTGGACCACATCACGCGGCCAAGTATCGTTTCGAGTACTGGCCGAACTATAAAAATCACTCTATGGCCAAAATCTCGGATCGGGCTAAACGAATCTCTTCTCTGGAAGACACAGACAGGTCTGGTGAGACGGGTTGGCGGTACGTGCACGAGAACATAAAGGACGTGCATGGCGTGGTTTCAGAAGCGCGCAATCCATGTAAAGATTACATTCAGAACTGGAAGACACTCGCGTTGCACGCATCGGCCCGGAAACGAAAAAGAAATAAATGTAGAGAGGAAGTCGATAAAAGTTTACCGATGAATAGTATGTTTCTCGATAACCAATAGCTGCTATTTGAAATGCAGAAGATGAACTATGTGATGATATTCGGCCTCAGATTTGCAAAGTTCTTGTGGCTTCAGACAATCACCGCACAGGCATGTAAATATCAGCAGCTTGACCGCACCATTGATTTTAGGAGGCTCATACTGCTATTCGAAGATCATTGGTTTTGTAATTCTTCAGTAGCTGTACGTTCATGGAGGGGAAGGGAAGCTCCTCTGGTCTCAGCAATCTTTTTTTCAGGTTGGAATGGTTGGGCACTGGCGTGGCTAGTAGTTTGAACCTTGGGGGCATCAACGCGACGCGAATTGTTATCGACACTTTGTGAGGCACCGAATAATAGGCAAGATAGATCTGGGTCAAACCCCCAAATTTTATCGTCTCCGGTCGCTTCTTCCATTCGAATGACAAATTTTTGGTCGTCTGGGTGTCCTGCGGCAATAACGTGGCCAGTGGCCTGAACCTTCGGGACATCAACGTGACGCGCATTGTTATCAACATTTTGTGTGGAACAGAAGGGTAGGCAGGATAGAAATGGGTCAAACCTCCAAATTTTATCCTCTTTGGTCGCTTCTTCCATTTGGAGGACGGATTTTTGGTCGTCTGGTTGCCTTGCGGTAAAAGAGCTTTGCTTTGGATGAGGAGAAACATGCCCTATGATATTCGAATACGGACATTCAGATTCACAGAATAGCACTATTTAACCAGTTGACCAAGTAGCCTGGGTACCAACCTTGCGAGACAGAACGCAACGCTCGTCCATTATTGTCAGCGGATAGCCAACATGGACCATCGAATCCCCAGAAATCGGTTTCCATCGCGAGTGTAAATCAGATATGGGGTCTCGGCCTTATCAAAGGACTTTGACGATTCAGGAATGGATGGGATTGTGGCCTGGAAAAGGCGGGCTCATTCATTATAAATTGCTCTGATTTGAGTTTATATACGACTATCATGCAGTCCAATGAATATATTCATCAAGAGTAAATGTTGCCGACCGTATGTTCCGTTTGAAACCATATTGGGTGGTATGAAGCCCTCCAAGTGGAGCCCGAATTAATTGAAACTCCTTGCTGTAAAGCTGTTCTAGAATCTGCTGTTGGTACAGACGGCAAAAAGAGCCGAAAGTTGGTTCAACTTGTTTAGTCATGTTATGCAAGGCAGCAATGCGCTAGTTGTCCTGGAAGTTAATTTAGGGAATCATTACTTACGAAGGAACAAAATGTGGTTTGAATTCTTAAAAGCCGTACCAGAGTCGGAACCTGTCATTTCGGTAATTTTGGTGAACTACCGGGAATACGCGAAGAACGAATGGTGTGGGGAGGGGGGGGGGGGATCTCTGGCCTAATGCGGTCTAGCTCGGTATAAGTGGGGCGCTGGGAAAGAAAGCGTGTGTCCGAGGGGTAATCTGTTTTCGAATTCTATTGTACAGGAACGCAGGGCGAGCATAGTGTAGGGAGGTCAGAATCAGAAAAAGGGTTGATCGGCATGTGGAAAAGTAGAGTGCGGGGAACATAAAAACAAAATCTCCTAAGGCAAGATCAGTGGCAATAACATAAAGTTTGACCGTGTGTCAAAGCCAATAAACGCCTAGACAATGAAGCAATGAGAGAGCATGGTCTTGCAGATATAACCCTACAACTTTAAGCCAAGACAGGCCAGTCCGAGGAAGGAAATTCAGAAATTACCGTAATAACAGGTCCCCGCCAAGGAGTTCTCATGCATGCTCAAACACTCTGTACTGTACTCGCTCTCAAGCTTACTGAAACAGATATCAGAACACAACGGTTTCGAAGTCGGGCGCCAAGCGGGCAGCCTAATAACGGAAACGGCAACTAGGCCATGACAGGCCTCGGCGAGGCTCTAAGTTCGTTCAGGAAGTGGTACACCCAACTTGTACGTACACGGATTTATATAATTGTGGTAGGCTGCATATCGCCCAAAGCAGTTGGTTTACCCAACTAGACCAAAAACGAATCCGTTCTCAGCCTAGTGGATGAGGTTTATAATCAACTAAAGCGAGGGGTCAGTGTAAAAGAAATCCATCCATCCATCCATACTGTAACAGATAACTGTAAATTACCGTATATTGCCTTGAGTAGTAATCTGAAACGTACAAAAAGAGATGGACGGAGATTCTGAGGATGAAGGTTATGGTCTCCCATACTTTCTTCCTTTCCGCTACATCTCTCTCAAATTACAAACTGGCATATCGTACACAGCTGAGCCACTATTTCATCTATGACTCAACCACCTGGTATGGCTGATCTATATAACGCTGCTATTAGGTCAACTTTATCTGACATTAATCTTAAAGATAGAACGACCTTGACTGGCAAGGACAAATCACCCGGCGATGAACCCCAACATCAACATCATGACGCGCAAAAATACCACCGTGCCTTATTTTCTCTGGTTGAAAAGATCCATAACTGCAGTGAGGAGGAGCTCCAAGAGCTAGTGATGTCCATCCGAAGCGAGAGTAGCCTGGCTGAGGCTAGACAACAAGCTTTGGATCTCAAATACTGTTGAGGGACGGACGAGCAGCGCTACAAAGAGGATGCCTGTAAGGGGCGGTGAAATGAGCGTTGGATCTACTCCCAAGACCACAACTTCTATTTTGCAATCTACACCCACAATGACAAATTGTTGATAAAGCCAAAGTTTTGAGAATACGCCATGTCAAGGGTGGGGTAATGGCGGGGTAGGAGTGTACAAGAATTTCATGTTGAGTACTGTATTTTACATGAAAAGCTCACCCTGGAAGTTATGTCAGGATGAGGAATTGAGGTATTGGCTAGTACTGAAGATGTCCAATAGAATCAGATGATTGATTGAAGGTTGATGAGAGCGGTTGAACGCCCTGGAGAGTCTGTATCATGCCGATGCGGTGTGTTACGACACCATAACTCCGAATCTATCCCGAATACCATACGAATACTAGGGTAATTACTAGGGGAAGTGGGCGGATTATGAACATCCTATCCCAAAAGGGTATTAGTGGTTTTTAACCACTCCTTTAGTTCGACATATTTCCCAAATAGAGTTGTCTCTCTCCATCGTTGCTTGCTGTCGTCGGCTGAATACACATCGATAGGTTTGTTGATACGGCCATGGAGCCGAGAGTAAGCCATGCCATGCCAATGGTGGGGTAATGGTGGGGTAAGAGTGTACAAGACTTTCATGTTGAGTACCAAGTAAGCACTCATGTTGCGATCTTGGTCCCTTACCGCATATGCTGATTCAGCTCCGGATGATCCCACGTCGCCCCGCCTGTCTGAGCGGCAATTTAAGGCGGTGAACGGGCACTATTCTGCCAACTCTCATTGGTCCGATCATCAGCTCCAATAAGTCGATCATCAGCTCCAATAAGTTCCATCTCCGCTCACCTATTAAGCCTCCTTTTGCTTCCCTAGCCGCCTTAACGAAAAGGCATTGACGCTGCCTCGGGCGGCCTTTCTTTTCCTGGTTGTTATCCACCTTGACAATGTCGCGGCTGGGCTCGGCGGATCAGGATACTCGCAACATCGATATTGCCCAGGTAAGCATTTCTTGTGGTGAGAAGAAAAAGCACATTTCGCTTCTCGATGAATTGCCTATATCAATGCAGGCACGGGAAGGCTGCCAGGACTGCAGATATTTCTGCGAAGAATCCCCTGTGAACAAGTTGGACTGATCGTAAATCCACAAATACAGGTGTCTCTGACTTTGCAAGATCGTTTGGGCCTTGCAAAACTCAAGTACCAGCATGGCCAGCTTCATGGTCCGAACTTCAACCCGCTCTTGGAAAGCGACAATCCCTCCGATTCCTCGCTCGACTTCTCACGCAGCCGTTGCGAGACTCCCTTCACATCTCCTTACCATCGAGCTGCCATCTACTCTAAGGCGCTACCTCGGCCAGCTCGTAATAAGCATGCAGTGACTTTCAACTACCAGGTCATGCAGCCTATGCTTTTCGCCAGCCGTAAACGACTGCGATCCGATGCAGGAGCAGAACTACCGGCAAAATCCCCTCGGTTCTCATGGAAGAGCTCATACCAACTTCCCGAGTCCTCCCCTAGTGTCAATCGACATCTCACAGCCCGGCAAAATCATGTTCCGTCCATGTCGGAGGCATCCGTTCCCGAAATATCATCCCCTGTATATCACGGCTCATCGGATGAGGAGAATGAACCTGATCTGCCCTTGTATAAGTTTCGGAATATGAGCTTCGTGGTGGACTCTTTTTCTCCTCGAATCCCGCCTCCCAAGCACGCCCGCCTGTCATGCAATAATCGAATGTCACAGCACGAAGATGGGGCCGACCTGCGGTATCTCGCAAAATCACCATCAGCTCGTGTCGCAGCCGATTCGTCACAGCAAGCTTTACTGCCTTCTACTCCGCCCAGCAAACACGTTGCCCTGCCGTCGTTGACCCCGAATCTTGGAACTCCGGACCAACAGTTCAACTTTGCTGATTTCGTGAATGTGACACCAAGCCCTGTTCAGCCGGTGTGGGTTGATCGTACCCCTCGCTACCCTGGCCGCACACCTCCGTCCACAAAGGACGCTCGCAAGCGATTGAATTCCGATGAGCTCGTGCCTGACAACACCCTTAGTCCGGAAGTTTGCCAATACAATGACCCTGTTTTGCAACTAGGTGGTCAGCTGTGATCCTAATATCTGCACCTCGTTCTCCTTACACTCATCTATCTTCGATTATTAGTCTATATACCCCCTTATTCCCTTTCGAATCCTCTAATGGTCTCTAATGATTTCTTCATTTACACAACCTTGACGTGGTTTTTTTGTGATAGGCCATGTCCAATCTGGCGAGTTGCTGCCTCCACCTGCATCTACGGAGTTTCCTATTCAAGTTTCTACTTGGCCCGAGATCTACCTTTTTGTATCCGGCATGATAAATATCCACCAGCGGATTGCGGATCGGCCCGTTTGGCAATCAGTTATGTATGTGAAACATTTTTACTTCCAGCCTCCCTTCATATACTCTACTCTAATAACTTCCTAACCACACAACTTATTATGATCCCGGATCTCGCGTGAGCGATTTCTAGTTATGGGTGAGCTGACAAGAGACCTGTCCTATTGTTCAATACCGGATCAGTAGCCACTTAAACTTCTGATACAAAAAGAGCCTGTAAGGGAAAATTAGAATGAAATTGACATAAAACCAGAACAGTGTGATGTTAGGTAGGCTCAAAGGCCAGTAATTATACTGGTGCTCGGCTATCCTGCGATCCGGGGTGATTCTCGCCTCACTCGCCTTCATTTTACCCTAGTCGCGCAACTGTCAAGCAGAGACCAGCCTTTTACCTCCAATAGGAGAAAATGACTAGCGTCACCGGCCTAGGGTGTACGGCTTCTACAGTCTATAGTCGGAAGGTACCGCCCATTTGAGAAGGTAAGTGCGCAAATAGATTATTTGAATAGTCATCAAGGGAGAAGTATTTTTTTTTACATTTGTCGGACAGAATAATGGCCCATTCGCATTATTTCCGATGAGATCCGACAATACATAAGTACTCGCTTCTCCATCGCCGCCTAAACCAATACGATGCGGGAGTTTTGGGGCCAAAAAAAGAAACTTTGTTAGTGACCGATTTCTCGAATCGCTGAAACAATGTCCAATCGCTACGACCTTGATCGCTTGCGAGCCATTGCTATTGGAGGATATGGAGACTATCTAGCCTTCTTTGTCGAATATCGGGGCACAAGTCTTGGAATTTTGACAGGGACTGCTCGGTTAGAATTTAGTTGCTTATTCCCTCCCTCTCTTTCAAGAGGATTAAATGGAAACCCAAAAGGAATAGCAGGGCGCCTAGTTGATTCAATTTTCTTATCAAAAGCTCACTATTATTCTTTGTCTTTAAAGGAGACGTAGGAAAATGATGTCCCCTCCTATAGTTGATCTGGTCCTTGCCATATTAATCTTTGGTTCAGCGGCGTTGTGCCAATATAACTCTGATAATTATGATCCTTCATCGAGCTAACGGCTGGCCAATGCATCTTCCTCTATTTATAGGTGGGTTGAATCGTGAGTCGTACCTGAGAAACCGGTGATTGTTCTCCGAATTAATATCGACAAAGATATTATAATGGGACGTCTAGAATAACCTTCAATCCGTACGCCGGTCTCTTAGAAAACAGGTGATTAATCGGGATGTCATTTATTGCAAAAATCTTGCGGTTCCTCACTCCATTGGCGAATTTGACACGACACTTGCAATCACGGAACCCGCGGAGATGGCGAGTTCCCTCTTCAGCCTTCGGAACCCGGTTGATTTCTATCTCAATATTTGGTCATTGGCCTCTGATACTGCTGGACTGTCCAATATCGTCTCTGAGCCTGGGGTTCCTTCAAGAAGATGGATGAACAAATCATCTAAGTACGTCAATGAAACAGAGAATAATAGAAGGTCTGAGGCTAATCGGATCTAGCATATTCATGAATTATGGATACGCAGAGATGGGAAATCAACATCACTGTTAACCGGACTTCGGGCGCACCATATAATGCCACTGGTGTATTGGGCGATGATTACGATACTACACCCATGTATTTCAATATGGACAGTTGAAACATCAGCTCGTCTGAGAAAATATGGTCTGGCTCCTTGCTCAATAGGGAAATGTGGAAGATACTTGGCGGTGATACCTACCACTACGATTGGGCATACCCAGATCCTACTATAAACTTGGAATTTGACAGCAAAGCCGCTAATGTTTCAATGGGCGCATATCTTCGTGCAATGACCTCCTCGAACTATACACAAGCAGAAAAGGACCTGCAGGTGCGTGTTCCTAGATACATCAATGTGATCTTTCACGGTGTCGTCGATAGCTTGCAGTCCGATGTTATGGTGAATGACAGCGACACACCCGTTTGGTTGAGATCGGTCGGGCTCAATAACAACTCGCTCAATATTCAATACAATACTGCGATGAACGCCAAGTCAGAATGGGGAATAGGAATGACCTTGTTCGCTTTCCTTCTAGCCCCTCTGGCCTTTTATATCTAGTGGACCACTTTGCTAAAATACTAATCAATGGTGTCCTTGTTGGCTACGAATGGCATAATTAGGCTTCAACAGAGCCCACATCGGCCCAGGCCCAGGCCAGCCCAACCTACGAATGTGTTGGGCCATGGGCCCTGGCCCCAATTGGCCCAAAAACAGTACAAACATGCCTAGGTTCCCTGGATATATAATTTATGCGATTTCTGGCAGGCTGGGCTCAGTGTGGTCCTCGACAGTAGGAGAAGGAGCCACTTCTGTCACCATCTCATCATTCAATTTATCATTTGGCTCCTCAGTATCACTGATTGGTTCCACTTAAACCTCATCAAGCCTTTCGTCCTTCTCTTCCTTTGCTACTCCAATCTCTTTCTCTTGATAAGAATTTCTCGAGCCGCTGAGACTATTTCTCTTCAAGATCAAATCGTGAATTACAAAGGAAGATCAACAGCTCTTGAATTGTTTCGGATTCCATCCTTCCTCGTCGATAATGACAGATATCTCGAGCAGTATTAAACAGTCGTTCAACACCAGCACCGGTTGCTGGAAATGAGGGGACATCTCGCGCAAGAGCTGCAATCGCCGGAAAGCGGCCTTAATTTTCTCTCCAGAACGCAAGAGGTCCAATGTCAATTATATCTTTAAATCGATTAATACTGTATAAAAGTGAATTTCGTTAAAACATACCACTGTCAAGATATTGCGTCAGTCCATCAGCGGCTGTCTTTGGCTACTTTTTACTTCCATTCAACATCTTATCAAGCTTTGAACTTAGTCTGACTGCTACTTGAGAGCCTCCTTGCGAGCCTTGATATCAGAAAAACAATCCTGGTATGGGGCAAGAGCATCTTGAAAGGATTTACGATAAGTATCGCACCACTTTTGATCCCAATAATCTGTCAGAAAAGGCTGAAACTTGTTAACAATCGCAAGCATTGTATTGACCGCATAGATATACCCTCGAACATTATCAGTCTGAGAGTAATACTCATCCAGCTTTAATTGGCACGTTTCGAGTGCGTCAAGCATATGTTTTTTCCATGGGATACGCTTCCGTTGGCGCTGCTTCATTGACTGCTCAAGATGTTCAAGAGTTTGTTGTAAACTTTGAACACATAATGCGCAGTGATATCCCCAGTCTTTGAAAGTTGAGTGGTATAGTCAAAGAATAGCTCAGTGATGCAAAGAAGATAGTCTACTTGGCGCCACTTATCATTATTAAGTAAAAGACCCTCACGATCATACTCAACGCAGAAGGGTGTAAAGATTAGCACGGAGCCGCTTTACGCGACGAAGCATTAGGAATGTTAAGTTCCACCGAGCCTTCACATCCTGGATCGGCATAAGCTTTGGGTACCTAGTCTGGAGATTACTGAATGTCTCCCGACGCTGAGGACTTACGTTCACATAGATCGCAAGATAGCGGATCTTATTTAATGTGTAGGAGATCTCTCTCCCCTGGTGTTATGCATTTACCTGGACCATTGAAGACTGTTGCTCTGTCCACTTTGTCTCAGTTGTGTCGTTTAATGACACTGCCTTGATATGACCAACAAGCTGGTTAAGGCTGAGCTGGATAATATGTTCAAGGCACGGAATTCGGATAATAAGAACACCATCCGATAGAGCTTGCTGAGTGAATCAACCAATGTCTTGTTGTTTGATGCGTTATCCGTAGTCACACCAAATACCCGGTCTTTAATCTCATGCTTCACAAGGTTTTCCACAAGGACACTACTTATGTTCGCACCAGTATGCGCCCCATGAATAGGTTTGAAATCAAGTAGCACCTCCCGATAGACCAAATCAGCATTGAAAAAATAGCCAGTGATCGCCATAAAAGCCTGAGAATATGGGATTAAAAACTAGCCTTATACCTCTTGAAACATCAATGGAAAATCGTGACAGCCGAAGCAACCGGCTGGCTGTGTGTTTCGCGAGGCAGCTTCTGCCGGCGAGTCCGTGCCACTCGGTGGTGAAATCGAGGAGGCATTCGGTCGGGTTGCGGCTGCCTTGGGCATAGCATCGGGGGAAAATAGCCAACTTCATTACAGCGACTTGACAACGTCGTTAGTTGGCTTCCAAATTATTCTAGTTATGAGAACGTACTTGCCAGCTTCGTTCATGAAATGGGTCCTGGTGGCAGCCTTGCATCACCTTCTGCATTCGAACACAGCCGAAGCAATTTGCCGTTGGATACACTCGATCTAGTACCAATTATCAGCAGCTGACGCAAGATGGTCGTTCGAAACTTACCTTGCTCGCGGCCTAGATAAGATCCCCCTATACCAGCCATAATACACTATCCCGATCGGACTTGTGGGAACGGCCGAACCAGTGTTATGTTTCACTGCCTCCCCATATCAGCATGACTTCTGGTGACTGAAGATGGTACAGACTTGCCGTCAATGTATTGTAGTATCAGCAAAGGCCAACCAGAGATGTAGCGGGCTCAGCTCGATTACACGTGCACGAGGGCCCGGAATCACTCCGTACCGCGGGGAATGGATGTTGGCAATATCTGCCAATACATAGCTGTTTCGTCTTTGCTGTTCGTGCGCCAGGCAAATCTTCAACCGTGTCAGGACAAAGTGCCACTTATGGAAAAATCCATGATATTTGGTCTAGGTTTCACTAGGAACTGACCTGAAACGACTGTTCTCGCGGCGAGAGACCTGGTAGATCCGGTGCTGCAGCCTGGCTTGTCGCTTGCTCAGCTACAACCAGGCTTGACAGAGCTGGCCCTCAGCCTGTGGCCAAAAGCTCGATTCGTTGCTGATTGATATTATCCCCGGACAAACCGTGGTCTTTCTCGGTGGTCGTCGATGCTCGGCTTCTCTTCGTTGTCGCTGGATGTTGCAATAGCTCACTCGGCCTAGCATCGGACCGGATCATGCCGTCGTCGAAGCTTCGAATCGGATATGGGACAAGGGGTGCAGGGCCGTCGGGATACGGAAGCTAATATAGTGACAGTTAACTTTGGTCGGACAGGATGAAGCCGGGAGAGATAAAAACATGTTGAAACTCTACCATATGGCTAATCAAAGGGCACTCAGCCTTCCTAGGGTTGTTCCGTCAACGTGGGCGAAATGGACGTTTCAAGCAGGTATCTTGGAACAGCGAAATAGAAACGCACTGGGATTCATTGGTCCGGCCCGACATGCATCCTTAGTTTTTAGGACAATGGGGAAGTACGGCTCGGTCGTGGCGAGTGCTGTAGCGGCAATCATCGTACTTGAACTCATCAGGGCAGCTAGTAGCACGAGAATGCGTTGCGAAGAATGAAGTCCCTCAAAGCGAATTGTAGTAGCAGCACTGCTCATGCCCCCAGGATCACATCCATAGTTCCTAGGAGAACCAGGTTCCGGGAGCCCCCCACGTATTTCCAGGCACTGCCTTCAAGCCACAATGGGGCTGCTACTTGAAGCAATGCACTCTAGATGCAATGAGACTACAGTGGAGCGTTCAATGTGAATCTTGGTCCTGATTCCTGCCCTTGGTCTTATTTGAGTGGGTGTGACGGTTCATCATTATGCCATTCCGAAAGCAACTAGTCGAGGTTCTGTCCAAATAGACCAAGCCGACTATATGTCCCGTTCGTCCGCTATACGAGACACCCTCACCCATATGGGCCCTATCATTTAATCTTACAGCATTTTGTTCCGTTTGACTTTTCTATCCTTCTCTAAGGCCAAGAATCCTTGCATGTGTGATTTTTGTTAGGTAGGCCGAATTCAGTCAACCAGTCATTTTGACTCGTCTGAATGACCGGTTCTCTGTGACTTCGCTAATGTCTTCTCGAGCGCCAGGAGATGCCGGAAACTTACGTCGGTGACTCCCATCATGCTCTCGTAAGGCTACCGAGAGAGGATATTGACCAGGGCACAGAGCTAAATGAACAATATGTAGCCTGTCATGGACCATCCACTCCGTGTCAAAGTGAGCTACAACTCTCATTAATCGTCGTGTTGTTACGAGGACAGCGAAAGGCGATAGCAATGTGAGGGTGATTTGAGACACGACTTGCTCAGTCCATATACTTCCGTCTTTTGCTTCTCGGCTCTTGGGCAGATGAAGCTGTTTTTCTCTCGATCCGCGGCGGACCCGAATGATCGATTGGCCCGTGCCTGTGTTGGACATCAACGAGAAGCTGATCGCCAACGACGATGGATTGCCCGGTCTCCACCACTGCTAGGGGATACATAGGCTCCGGTATTAGACCGTACAATGCAGACCTTTCGTTGAGTGAAACCATCGCGTAGTACCTTTTGAATTCATCCAAGTCTGCGAACAGGCATTGTTTGGTCCGCTGCGGAACGAACTGCTGACGGCACCCACAGACTGCAAGGTTCGACGAGTCCAGAACTATATGGCAAGTATCAGAATTAATTGTCAGCCCTAAGCGACGATCGATCGAGGCTTACCTGGGTTCGGATGCAGAAGCTCCCGCTTCATGCTGATACAGCTTTCCTCGTGTAGTATCACATGATACGCCGCCCCATCCAGACCATGCTTCCGAAACAGCTCTGTCTCGTTATCTTCCCAAGCAACCGTCAAGCCGCCCTTCGAGGGCGTCAAAGTGATCTGGTGTGGCATGTACCGGAGTAGACGTCGGATATGGCGCATATACCTCATCTCGGTGGTCCGAGGGGTCTGAGAGCCTCCAAACACCGACGAGATGGAAAGAGATAAGAGCTCCTCGATGATGTGGCCGCAAAAGAAGGGTTCGCGCTTTCCACTTTCCCTCTTCGCACTACGAAGGATCCAGTTCCGGCACGATGTTCGCTGATGTGTATCGTCAAAGTCCAGCCATCGGCGGTGGACCTTCAGTGTCCTTTTCTGAGGGTTATACACAACATCCGCCCTACTATCGAATCCTTCGACATAAGCCACTTGAATCACCTGCATCGAATCCAATAAGGCAAAGCATGCTCTCAGTGCCTTCCGCACAGTTCTCGAGAAGGTGGCACTCGGGGGGGCTACAGACCTCGGCATTTTGGAAAAGC